AAAGTGGAGTACAGAACAAAAGGCGGATATCAGTTGAGTCTAGAAATATGTGAAAGAAAGTACGCGCGGCGAAGCCGCGCCCGCCCGGCGCAGCCGGGCCGTATCAGAAGGAGCCGCGCCGGCGTCAGCCGGCGAGGCGACTGGTAATATAAGTATGAATTTGACGTTTCGCAAGATGAGTGGAGAACAGGGCATTAACTGTGGCTGGTGGGGTCACGCTCCCATTGTGCAACATAGGTGGCTTAGGAGAATAAGAGCGCGGGCCAAGGGGTAATATAGACATCGATCCTGGCGATATACGGAGGATAGGCGAAGCAGGAGCTCGGGCACTAGGCCGGTGCCCGCCTTGAGAAAGTATAGATATCGGTTACGACTTAGGAGATTAGGAGAATAGTGAAAAAAGGAATGACATCAGAGGATCAGCTGGGAATCTATTGACTGTGAGCGCTAGTTAATTGACAGAATAAAAGAATCGGAGAATAGGTGACTGCGCGTCAAAAGAAGAAATGGAAGTCGATTGATTCTTCGTTCTTCCCAATCTCTCAGTTCGTCATATCAGCAATTATACTTTCCTTTGCGCGCATTTTCCAGCGCGGCCAAGTGTGAACGTTTTAACCTTTTCCACATTAGAAGAATTGCATTACCTTTCAGCACTGAGCAAGAATGAGAAAAAGAACAAAGAGGAAATCTGAGAGAAGGTGAGGCAGTGATAAAAGAGATTGAACCTGACCTGTGTAGGAAAACGGCGGCGTTGTAAACGACATGATGCTCTGGCCACAAATTTGCTTTGCACAGATGTTCAGCTAGCGGCTTGGATAATGTTCCGCACAACCTTCCTTCTCAGAGGGATAAAGAATAGTTGCCGCCGTTGATCAACTCGCTTCTTCGGATGCGGCATGTATTCCACTTCCATTCAATCACAGCGGCTTATTGAATGCGATGTGGTCTATACGATGACTTGGGAAGGCCAGCTATGTAACAGTCAAAGTTCCAATCCTTGCAGACGAGGTGGGTACCAATTTACCGTCCCTGGAGAGTAGGAGACTTGGTTGCCTTGATAGGGAACCGATACGAGATTTTACGATCAAACCGTGCGCAAGACAAGCGTGCCTCTTGCCAGTAAACCAATCCTGCCTCCTCATAGCATAAACCTCATCAAAGGCACCGGAACAAGTATTGGCAGAAAATAAGCAACCGCCGTCGACGCTGCAGTTACGACATACCTCCAGGTACAGCTTCAACGGTAAGTCTGACATCTCTGCAGTTGTGATCAATGCACCAATCGTTCCCATAGCACACATAAACATTTTCCGCATTTTCGCTTCCCAGTTTTCCTGTATATGATCTATTCAATACACAAGCAGAACTGTACATACATACACTTTAAACATCTGTTCTATACAAATCATCTATTCCGCAAGAAGACATAAAGCATGAATAAAATCCTACCTCATCCTTTAGATCGACAAATCGCAATATGAGCTTATAGAGTTCGAATATAATCGGAGTTAGAGTGTATTTTATTCGAGCTTTTCCACCAGCACCCAAAATCTTTCTTGCATTATTCAACAACTGAAAACACAGTAATGAATTGTAAACTAGAAAGCAATAAATGTTTTCAATAGAGAGTAGCTGGCCTTCACTTAAACCGTTCAAAACTGCTTCATTTCCAGGCTGTTGTCAGCGTCATTCTGGATGGAAAGACTGAAACAAGCGAGCCACTAAAAATGCTAGTCATCGTTCTTCCGGAAATCTCCTCAGTTTTCTGAGAAGAGAGGCATTTTACAGAATCGGAACACTGTAAACGAATTGGCCAGCATAGAATTGCAGTCAATAACCGGCCACGTATGGAACCAACAAACCGATGCATTCAGGGCGCTTGGTGCTTGTTCATCTACCCCAGTAAGCGAATGCAACACTAGCATCGCACAATGACCGCAACGGGTCCCTTCTTCAACGTTGCTCATCGCAACGTTCCGTGCTTCTAACGCATTTTCTGAAGGAACATGGAAAGTAGCGCTAAGGCCGTCTGAGAAATCGAGGTCTGAACTTCTGGCACTTCAACTTCAAATCTATTCGAACGCAGAATTCAAAAAAGAAAGCGTGTCTCAGGTCAGTACTGAAAAGTCGGTCAGAAACTATCTTCGCTAATTGCGTTGAGTTCTTTATAATTACCACTGTGCTCGATTGTTTTTCCTGAAGCAGACTATTCAGGGAGCCAAGTGTTGAGGCAGAGACTTACAGGGATTTCGAGCATAAGAGATGCTGCAGCTTAACTTCTCATTAGAAAGTCACGGGAGTGCTAGAGAAGAATCGCTGCGAAAAAGACTTTTATTCGCCTACTAACGCTGCCAACTGATCATAGCTTCGCGCTACTATTCTAGAAGTGAAATACAAAGAGATTTCTTCTTTTAACCTTTTGTGTATTTTCGCATTTTTTTGGATAATTTGCAATTCTTATGTTCAGGCCTCTGGAAACGACGTAAGGGACGACACATTGGCCGAATAAAGATTCCACTTCGAACTTCGTGGCAGAAGCAAAAGAAAGAAGGAATCCAAAAAAGGGTTCCGAAAGCAGAACTGAGTTAATCCGAAGATTTCAAAATAGAAAGTCATTAGAATAACGTTTTCCTTAAAACGACTGAAGTTTTTTTATTTTTTGTGGATGCCAAGCCCATTACTGCAAAGGATGAATAAAAAGTTTCTGGACATTGAGGGGTTACCATGAATCGGAAGGAAGTGATAAGGGACAAGCGATTCAAAGAGCTTGAATTATGCAATAATATCGTACAAAACGCTTGGGTAGGCTCAAAATTGTCACAATGCATGGAGCTAAGGCCTAGCGTATCAACGTTAATTTTTCCCTTCATTTAACCATTTCAATCAGTTCCCACCTCACTCCTTATCCTCTAATGCAGGACGGGAATGTACAGGTGGTGCTTAATCAGATTTTAATTATGCATCTTTTTCCTTGGCCTAGTTTCATAGCGTTCATCTTGCAGCTCTCTGAGACATTCCTCCCTTTCCTAACCCAACGCATAATCTTAAAAGCCAGGTAAATTGATCTGAAGGGCTGATACCTGAATGATATGTGACGCAGCCAAACAACGTCCATGATACTTGAAGCTCTCCATTACTGGGACAAACTCGGTGAGGCCAGCAATTTTTAAAGCATTATTGTACTCATCGATGGGCAATCGGATAAGTTTCATCAACTCTCGACCAACAGGATCGAATGGTTCAATGCTGAAAGTAGACAGAACCTTTCTCAGCGCTCGCCTATGGCTTCGTGATGATGCGCGTCGATGCGC